AAAAAGAAAAAGGTCATTTAGTGATTCAGAGCAAGATGACTGATCCATCAACCAATTCACTGATATGTCCAAAAAGGACATGGGCACATGCAAAAACCTCAGCTCAAATGTAGAGATGTATACATCACAAAGGCTCTCACGCCATGAGCCGTGCAGTAATGCATCGAGAGACTGCACGATTACCTTTGCGGGATGCATCTTCTTTATGTCTGTGTCTCTGCTCTGACCTTCACAATAACAGAGACGAGTGGCGGCTGGCGAGAGCCGCTGTAATCACGGCACAACACCAGCCACAGATGGAGGCTGGAAATCCCTCTTAATTGTGATAAATACACATCAGAATTGCTTATTTGCCTCCATTCCATGCCGCGTTCGACGCCGGCGAATCAATGGGTGGAATTGGTCCGTCCTTTGTGTGATGGTATAGCTCAGCTTGGGCTGTCTGCCTCTCCAGCATTCAGAGAATATCACCGGCGCTTTGTTTCACCCATATCTCACACTTAGTGAATTTGAAATAATCACAAACACCATGCTCTGACACTCCTAAGCGTTTAGTGAGATGCTAATATTCATAATTACACATCAAAGGATTGAAATAATGAACAGCTACAAGTCGAAATGTGATTTAAATAACAAACAATCCAATTTTTCAAAGTGGAAAATCACTTTTTATGCTTAGTTGACATGAAATGTTCTGCAGTGCGACATGGTGTATTTTGATAATGTTGTTAAAATCATTATGCAGGCACCTCTTATGAGCCTATATTAGGTTAGAAACTACCGATTATTTAAAATAATCGACGGCGAGAAAGGACAAAGATATACACTTTCCCTTATACTTTGATTCATTCACATGTTTAACCTAAAATGGAAGTGATATGCATCACGTACAGCATCTTAGTAATGGACCTGTTGATATACAACCCTTTAGAGAGACGAAACACCAAATAAATCCCAAGCATTTTACAGAGCCACAGCTCCGGTCTCAATCTATGGATCCACTGCTGCACCGTAGGAGAGGAAATGGAACAATTTAGCACTTTTGTTTGCTCACAGTGAGGGAGGGAGGCATTGCTTTCTTCGACACAAAGCCAACTTTGTGTTTAGTGTTGTGTATAAATTCACGCCAACCAATCTCGCTCTCCCTCTCTCTGAATTCTCGTCCAACTCCTTCAGAGTTGCTTCGCCCAAGAGCACAATCCCTCCCTTCCCAACACTTACTACACCAGGAACCGGCACTAGTAAACAGCACTGCATTAAAAAACCCAAACCTTCCCTTAGAATTTCAGCCCCAGTGTTATTCAGTTCAACTTTCAAGTGGAGCCACATAACGAATCACAGAGTGCAATTTAGCCCTTCAGAATGCCGTTCGGAAACAGGTGATAAAGGAAGCACTCATGCACTGGCTATGAAGTTTCACCTCCCTCAAAATTAATTCCATCTTCAAGATTCCTATCTCTGTGATATGCTCGGAATGGCACACAAATCGCTCCCGCCAGAAAGATTACTGCAGACTGACTTAGCATAAACATCTCCTGTTGTCATGACTGGCAGGGGGTGGAATATAATTCTAAAGTCGTGGCCTATTTAGACGTAGGTGCGTTCGTGTGATCTGCGCGTTCCGAAGCGGGAATCATAAAACAATCGAGCTCAATGAGAGTTTAGTCGAGCTTGCTAAATGATAACCATTCGTAGTCCGGTCAGGCACACAATCGTGTGGAGTTGCACGCTACAGTATATGAAACGGGCCGTGTTTACATTGTTAAATGTCACTGGCTCTACGGCTGATATTTTGTACACACACTGCAGGTGAATTATTGCATCCAATCTAACATTAGTTTAACAAGCTGTAAGCTGCACGCAGTCACACACGCAGTACGGCGGGAATCGGTGATGCCTAATTTCATAATCACAAGAGCTAAAAAGAAAAATATATACCTGAACACCTATTGTTTGGATGAGGAAGAACTAGGGATATTCTACAGCAAAATCTGACAGCCACAAAATACTAATGCATATGCAATAAATAAGCTTAAAATTCAATAAAATAACATGACTAGAGTTAATATGATCCCGAGAGTCATTTCATAACTGCAGATTGATTTACACCTGTGATCGAACAGCACAAGACAGATGCATATGCAATACTCCATAAAAAAACAGCCTTTAAGCACCAACCTAACTAGTCTATAAAAGTAATCATAATAACATTTCAGATCTATAGAGCAACAGATTCTTATATTATTTTCAATATTGCAGATGATGACATAAATATGCACACTTAATTCCGATTGCATGCATAAGTCCTCAAACCGCCACTTGATGCTATATGCAATATGCACATATCAAAATAGACACAATTTCAAATCTATAGATCAAGTCATTTTAGAATTGCAGAATTTAGTGCACCACCTGTCTTCTAAGCATGTTGTACACAATAGTGTTTTTTTTTTTATCATGAATTCAGCTTGATGACAGCAATTTAATAACTACGGATTTATTTTAGTGGGTTATTTCTTATCCGCTTTATGCACATCTATAGATCTGACAAATAAATTTAGTGCACCAACTGTGATCAAGAGTAAAAGACGCAACAAAAACATCAGTCTTTAACATGCACCCTGTTATATATTCATACATCACAATGTCAAATCTATAGATCAAACTAATTGTGATGGCAACCATGCACCTGTCATGTAATGCAAACACCAATCCAATGAAAAGCATTTCACCTACTCAATTCTAACACACATTTAACTTGTCTTTGTCTTGTGATCAACTTCGACTGTCATGTTCCAACCTGCAGATTTAGAGTTCCTGATGTAATACAGGACTCAAACCCACATCAATCTCCATCGAAACTTCCTCAAACAGCAGCCTGATGCACACTATTTCACAGCAGTAAACAGTGTGTTTTACTCGGATTGGCCTAATACCGCGAAAACAAACGCAGAGCGGATACAACGCTGCAACATGTTCGAAATGTTCACAAATTTCCCGCGAAACCTGCCAGCAGCGCGAGACACGCTGAACATATTCAACGGTCATGTCCTCTGTCCACCCAAACACACACTCACTCTCTCACACACACAAGATAATAAACACACACTCGCTGCTTCTGTCAGCGTGTATACCTGTTACCCAACCCCTCACACACACACACACACACACTCCTGCGGAAAGGGCAAAGTTTCCCATCTCAGTCCAAAATGCCCGTCAGCGCACGCGTTTCCACAGACACACAACAAACCGAGCGTTTACCGTTCTCTTCTGGAAGGGTCTTGCTGAATGCTGGGCTTGGTGGGCGCCATCTTCCTGCAATTATTAATTACACTTTTTTCCTCCAGAATTCACGCGACGAACAGCTGACAGCGGAACCGGGAGCATTTAAACAACGCCATCGGTGGTACCGGAGCGCTCGTGCCCGTGTCTCCGTGCGTTAAGACGCGTTCAGACGGGAGCGAGACCAGCCGACGCTGAGATCCAAAGGCATGCCAATAAAGTGAGAGGAAACCCGGGGACGCTCGTGAGATCCGGCGGCTGTCCTCGCGGGTTAAACGAGAGCAGGAATCAGCGCACGAGACGGGCATTTACATGACGATGTGCCTCTCGAACACAGCCGCTTTTCCCTTTTATGTTTGTCCGCATTTTCCTGCTTTTTCCTGCTTCTCTCTCCCTCTCATCTCCCTCTCCTGCCGGCGCAACAACGCCACTCAGTTGTAGTTGGAAATAGTTGGAGTTTATTGGGAATACACAGGTTGTTTCTGATGCACCAACGAAAAGATTTGCGGAAGGAAAGCTTTTAATCGCTTGATGTTTGCCTTAATATATTTTTTATATAGCCTACATGTGGAATGATATGATTGACAGCTGTCCAAATCAACTCAAATGCCAATTTGAGGTTTAAATTAATTTGAGACTGAATTATTTTGAAATTGTCAAAGCATTGAGAATGAAAAATAAAATACTCATTTGTTTGATTTTAATAAAGATTTTAAGAGATATGCCAGTGTTAGGTCCTCAGAAAAAAAATCATGGTTGAAGTAGGCTATTTTTTGCACTAATGCACATTCAGTATATTATTTAGTTTTTCTAAGTGATTCCGCATTGACATTAATAAAGGCCTTTTTTTCTGATGTGCATTAGAACCTGTGACCTGTCAAGGTCATGAGCTGACAGCCGCCCCATTTAATGTCCTGTTCATTGTGTTGTGCTCTAAACAGACTGTTTAATTGAACGTGACAGTGTATGGAAGTGTATCAGTTGATTCTGCTGATATACTAACATTCAGAACATTCACATCCATCAATGCCAGTCTTCCGCTTGGCTTTATAGATGATGAAAATTAGTGTGTATTTTAAAGTGAGGAAAAAATAAATGGCAAAAACCATATTACGCCTGACTTAATTTATATTTGTATAAATCAGAATCACACACCATGTGGTTTAGTGGTGTTTTCTTGGCACTGGTGCGTAAAGTTATGAAAATATAGCCTACTGGAGCTGTTTTCTAATCTACTTAAAACTATCATGATCAGATTGATATAAGATTTATGCATTGATTTTGCATAATTTGTATTTTGCAATAATTTGTGCTGAAGTGAGTTTTTGTGGCACTTTTATAAAGATCACAGTCACCTTGAATGTTTAATATGAACATATGGTTACTTGTAAGATAAACATTAAACGTCTTATTTATATTGATTAAAACGTATAATATGGCGTTTCTTTGCATCTCGTGTGTTTCTGTTTTGGAATTTGACACGTGGCAAAACTTTACAGTCTTTACATCGTGTGTTGATTTGTGAAGCAAACTCTAAATCGCACTGAAATTGAGGTGTTAGTCAAAGTTTAGACTTGTAGCAACCTCCAGGGAAATAGTATTGCTTTATATATAAACCTGATTACGGTGCATCGCAACAAATATGACATGAATGGTATGAATGTCACCTAAATGTGAAGAGGGAAAACAAAAACATGTTTTGCGTTCAGCCAGCATACCTTTGTTGGTAAGACGTCAAGCCTTGGACGTTTTGCGGATTCCCGTTAGTAGCTCCCGGGACTCTGGACGCAGCCGGCATCCCTCCACCGGCTCCCGGACCTGCAGCCGCCGCCGCCGTCACCTGAACACTGAAATCCGGGAAGATCCTGATCATCCCCGAGCGCGCACCGCGATGCTGCACCAACCGAGTGTGTGTGGATCAACCTTCCCTCCGGTCCGACAAATCACAGCAGCACAATCCCATTAGTGATGGAAACAAGCTCATCAGCCATTCTACGTCTTGTTTTCTGCTTTCAGAAGAGAGAACCGTTGCTTTTACAGGGTTGGTGATGATGTTGATGATGATGATGATGGTAGACTGCCGCCTTCTTTGCGCGTCCTGTGCGCTTTTACGCGTAAAAGTTTCAAGCGCTCCGAATGTTTTAAAAGTGAACTTCCTTAAAACTTCATCATTTAACCATATCCACCGATAAATGAAAGTTCTGACTGTCTCTATATGTAAATTCTGACAAATAATTAGGGTCCGTTGTCAGTTTAGGAAACTTACCATAAAGTGACACACTAACTCCTAAAATCTTAAATCAAAGTATATCCTGATATTATTTCAACTTTAAAACGCATATGCCTTTTAGTTTTAGTAGTTGAATGTACAGCTACAGGCGTTTACAGAAATGAAAACGCACGTGCAACACTTTCCTTCAAGTGTGAAGGAATGAATGCGTTATAAATAACAGAGAACTTTTTTTTTTTATCAGTCCGGTGTGTCCTGAAAAAGCTCTACTGACTGAGATCAGAGATAGCTGTCCATTCCCAGTGCGTGTGGTTTAGGAAACAGATCTAAGTATGTACGCGAGGAAAGTCCAGTGCATGATGTGATCTGCTCGCCTCCTACTGTTGTGATGATGATGTGCTACTGCTTTCAGTGATCAGCTTCTTCTTCTTCTGGTGCTGATGCTGCGCAGGTCAGGTGCTGCTGTCAGAATCAATGTCTAAAGCTGATGGGATGTTTGCTGTGTGGATGCTCCTGGTGTGTTGTGTTGTGTTGCCCTGCTGTGTGTGGCAATGCCATCTCTATAACGCGTGCGAGGAGATGAGCTCAGCCGCTCGTGCAGCTGATTAACGGCGCGCGCCGCCGCCGCGCAGCCAATGGGACGCTCGCACGGGAGCGCGCAGCGGTTTACTGCAGCAGTTAACCCTTTATGAGCCGAATGATGAGGACCAGGAGATTAACAGCTGACACAACTGTATACCCAGGTGAAAAGGAAATATATTTAAATTGTACTTATTTTGATATACTTAATGTATTTTAAGTGTACCGTATTAAATATGTATTAAATGTGCTAAATTGAAACAACTTCAAGTATATTAAGTGTACTTTAATATGTATTTAAGTTCAATTTTAAGGTAATAGTAATATATTTTATTATACTAAATTGTGCTAAAATGGAACCATTTTAAGTACATTTAATGTAATATAATAGCACTTATTTAAAGTGTATTTTAATACACTTTAAATAGACTTTAGAAATACAGCATTAGTATATTTTTAGCTTCACATTAATGCGTTCTGAGTATATTTTAAATATAATTTCAGCTTATTAATAATGTATTAGTAGAACACTATTGGACCCACTGTTAACATATTAAAAATATATTTTTCCAAAAACCATTTAATATAAAAATAATATATTTTAATGTATTAAAAATACATTTAAACATTTGAATTCAACAAAACCCAATAAAAAAAATATTTCTACAAAACACACTAACACTCTTTGAAAGATAAACTTTAATGCACTACATCAGTAAAGCATTATGAAAACTAAACAAAATACATTAACATAAAATGCATTGATTTGCAGAGGTATTAAACAGAACAAAAATAAATAAATAAATAAATAAACTAACTGAAAGGAGTAGTTCACTTTTGAAAAAACTTTTGGTGATAATTTACTCACCCCCATGTCTTCCAAGATGTCCATGTCTTTCTTTCTTCAGTCGAAAAGAAATTAAGGTTTTTGATGAAAACATTCCAGGATTTTCTCCATATAATCACTGGGAACCAAACGGTTCAGGGTCCAATGGCTAACAGTCAATTTGTCGTGAAAGCATGAGAATTGGCTCAATTGTGAGAGTCTTGTGCTGAATGCTTGAGAGTTGGCAGCCCTGACAAATCTTTTTTCGAGTCAATTCATTCATTTCGTTCATTGAATGAACCTAATGACTCGGAAAAAGATTTGTTAATTTTGATGAACGAGTTCAAATAGGAAAATCATGAACATGCATAACAGAACAGAGCAAGGCGACCATTTGAGCTTATAAAACTTAAACTTGTGGGTTTTTTTTTTTTAAATGACCGATCGTTTCGCTTGATAAGACCCTTATTCATCGTCTGGAATCGTTTAAAGCCCTTTGAACAGTTTGCACAGAAACTGTCTTTTGGACCTTGAACCGTTTGGTCCCCAATGAAGTCCATTATATGGAGAAAATCCTGAAATGTTTTCATCAAAAACCTTAATTTCTTTTCAACTGAAGAAAGAATGACATGGATATCTTGGCATGGGGGTGAGTAAGCTATCAGCTAAAGGTTTTTTTTTTTTTGTTTTTTTTAAAGTGAACTAATCCTTTAAGTCAAACAAAGTGAAATACAATAGCAAAAAGTAAAGTGGCCAAATCTTGAGTAAAAAGAGAAGTTCGTGACTTTTTCAGTCTGCCATAGACTCTTTTGGGGACATCAGAAACACAGAGGGAAATCTGGCAAGAATCAAAAAAAACAAGCATTAGTATAAACTTGTTCATTTATAATTCTAATAAAAAGCTGTCACTTTGTTACTTTATTCAGAACACTTAATGCACAAAAAGTCAGATATAATTATTATAACAAATAGGATTTTTCTTTATCATAAAGAATTTTCTAACCATTTCTGAGGTTTCAGGAAGACACAGTTCAGATGATCTTGGGCTTGAGCTGAATGAACCTCGTTTCATGGACTCCAGGGCCTCTTTGAGAGATGCTAATATCCCTGGAAGCTCTACAAGAAAAAATAAAGTCGCATGTTATACAAAGTTAGGGCAGAAAAAACACTAGTTTGTGTTCTTCATATATAATTGTATTTTGTTTAAATGGTGAAACATATTTAATGAACCATTACTGTAACTTCCACGCTATTATTAAAGTAATTATTCATTATTAATAAAGACAGAACTTTCTATTGAAAGTTACAAGTTGGTGACAGCTGATAACGACTTGATTAAATGTAAAAAAGCTGAATACCACTCATAAAATCATATAAATCAGTCCCTCGAGAAAAACACGATTATGTGATTGCATAATTCAATGCATAATCAGGCAAAATACATATTCATTTTTCAAATACGTGTTAATATATAATAGGTCACTTAGTTACTTAGCTGCTACATAACACCCTATTGCCTTTTTTGTTTTGTTTTTCACCAACAAAAAGTTACAAATCAAGAGGATCAACTACTACTTACTCGACTTGACCTCATCTACTCACGGTTAGGTTTAATAAAAAAAATGTCTTTGCAATGTGCAAATTCCTTGGCTAGGCTAAATATTAAATATAAAATCTCTCATTTCATTATTTAACATCAATTTAATTTCTCAGTGCAAGATATTTAATAATTGGTTTTGTGAAAGCTTATAGTTGGTGATTACAACTTAATTTATTTATCGAATTGACATGAAAACTGACAGCCTACTAATAATTAATTAGATTTTACTATGAATTAAATATCACAGATGTGAAAGTTTTATTAGAGCTTAAAATATATTATAATATTTAAAACACAAGAAGTTACTTAGGGACAATCAAGCCTGTCGTGTAATCACCATTAATAACCTTTTTTCTGCAAACACAGTGTGCAATGTTTTTATAGTTGTTTTATGTCACTGTCTAGATCTATAACAATTAAGTTGATAGACGTCAATAAATTAACTCGCTTTAGTGTCAAATCAACAGAAACGCCAGTAATCCACAGAACATCGACATCAACTTCTGAAAATATTTTCTAAACCCAAAGTGAACTAATAAACTTACCACCAAGAAGTAAGATCTTTTCTGGCAGTATCTTGCTCTGTCCATGTCGTGGCGGCGCACCTCTGCGTTGTCCTCTTCACTGCTAAATTGTTCGCGGGAGCTGACGACCTGGTAATCTGCTCGTGTTTTCTCTTAATATTAGATCGGTGCTATCCACATTCACTAGGTCCGAGTCAGTGAAATAACAAAGCAAAATTTGGAAAATACATGATTTCTGTTGAAATATCCGAAGTAGGAAATCTAGGAATACCACAGTGACAGTCAGTATACGCTGTCCGCGCCCCGCCCAACATGTAAGTTCAAATGGCAGTGTGTGATTGGACAATTGCCGGCAAGCTTGTTTTGAAAAGATTGGCTCTGATTGGTCCAAATGAATGCAACTGGAAACATCCACAAAAAAACTCTGTTAATATAAACCTAACATGCTTTATAACAAGTTTTTTTTAATTAATTTTGGCTAAACAAATGTAAGAGTCAAGCTTTAAGAAATTTATTTTGTTTTTCTAGTATGTACACCTGATCTTTTATGTTGATGTGTGCAAGTACTGGTATTCACTTGTTTTGTGGAAAAGACTATTTGATTAATTAATGCAGAAGTATAGAAGTGCATTACTTGTTAGTCAAATTTTAGTGCTTTTCATAATTATAACAAATTAATTTAAAAAAGTTAAACCTAAAACACATAATATAAAGTGTGAAATACATATGCATTGAGTTAAGTGTTGGTAGTATTACAAAACTAATAGTTTTACTCACTAATACTAATACTATGTTTGTTTTTAGCATATTTCTGAAAGTGTAATTAAGTGTATATTTATTAGCATTGCGTTTCTAGTAAAACATTTTTAAATATAATTAAAATATGTTTGTATTTAGCATATTTCTTAAAAATGTAATTAAATACCAATGTACTTCTAGTACACTTTTTAGAAACATATTTAAAGCATGATTGTCATTAGCATATTTATTAAAAATATAATTAAGCATACATTTATTACCAATGTACTAATAATATACTTTTTTAGAAATACATTAAAAGTATGCTTTTCTATAGTGTATTTCTTAAAAGTGTATTTAAACATATATTTATTACCAATGTACTTCTAATATACTTTTTAGAAATACATTTAAAGTATAATTATCATTAGCATATTTATTAAAAATATAATAAAGCATACATTTATTACCAATATATTACTAATATACTTTTTATAAATACATTAAAAGTATGCTTTTCTATAGTATATTTCTTAAAAGTGTAATTAAATATATATTTATTACCAATGTACTTCTAGTATACTTTTTAGAAATATACTAAAATGCAATAAAATACATTTTTAGTACACTTTAAATAAGCATGTTGTAAATACAAATGTATTATAAACACACTATTTGTATTTCAAATATATTTTTAATACATTTAATACAACGTCTTTTTCACCTGGGTAGGTCAATCATATAAGCGAACTTAAGTTATAATGCAACACTGTGTTGATTAGAATTCAATACATGGGAAAATAAAAAAGCTAAACAATGAAATTAGGCTATAGCCATATCAATTCAGTGGCTATTTGAAAGAAATGTAGTTTTCATTAAAGACTTTTGCTCTTACATCCATTAAAAAGAACTGGGTAACACTTTACAATAAGGTCTTATTTTTAATGTATTAACTAACATAAATTAGCAATGTTAGAGTAGCCTATTTATTAATCTTTGTTAATGTTAGTTAAGAAAAATACAATCGTTAATTGTTTGTTCATGTTTGTTCACAAATACAACATTTGATTTTAATGATGTATGCTGAAATGAACATTAAATAAGATTAATAAATGCTCTAGAAGTATTGTTCATTCTTCATTTTAACTCGTCTAAGTAGTTAACTAATGAAACCTTATTGTAAATTGTTACCAAGGAATGTGCAGGCTGAAAATGTGCAGAATTTGAGCAGATGAGATGTGGATTTAATTGATATTTTGTGAACAATAATACGTTTTAAAATGTCA